CAAAATATATTTTGAAAGTCTCATTGGCTGACAAAGACCTTCACGGTCCACTTAACCTGACTGTCCAGTGTTATTTCTCCATACTCTACTCTATAAACCTTCTGATTCAAACCAAACACATTTAATACGCTACATGGTTCTCGTATTTAGTTCATATAGACCTCAGTTTATTCTCTTCCATTAAACATACTCGCTGGAGTTCCATTGTAAGTCACTGAGGTATGCATTGGAGATTCAAATATGAATAAATAATTACAGATAGCCATCAAATATCTTAGACTCTAGACATATAACTAGATAATTTCAACAACATGTGTGTGCATTAGATGTTTTTGCAGCACAAAAGAGAGACCCCCAAACCAACCTGGGGATCAGGAAAGAATTCCTAGAGAAGAGGGACAATTGCTGAATCTTAAAAATTAAGAGTAGAGGTGAAGTACGTGCATTTATTTTAGGCAGGGAGAAGAAAGGCTGGGTTAAAATTTTAGAAAGAGGGGAAAACAGAAAAATAAATTATAATGGATTCAATCAGCATTATAAGAATATAGCTACAAGCAGTTTGGCTGCTGGGACTTAGAGTATAATGCATGAAGTGGAGTGAGAAATGGGGCTAAAGACGGAAGCAAAAGTTCAGAAATGTCTTTTATCTTCCTTGTCTTCTTCTTCTTAGATAAACTAAGTCCTGTTAAATGATAGCACAAATTAAGTGAAAGATCAAGGTAGGGAATACATATTTGGGAATAGCCCATAGAGTTATAATTGAAGAGTAAAGTTAGTTTATAGCTAAATTAAAACTCAGAGGATCAAGGTTCAGTCTCTTCCCTGCCTTCTATTGCCTGTGTGAATTGAAGCAAGCCTTAGCTTCTCTGAATCTCTCCATCTGCAAAATAGAAATAACTCTTATCTTGACTACCTCATACAAATATATATATACATATATAAACTTTTAATTGTGACACATAATATAAAATTTACCATCTTAACGAGTTTAAGCACACAAATTGTTTTTTAATGAATCAAATGAGAGAATGTGTATTTTAAAATATATTAGTAGTAGTATATCAGCAGAAAAAATGAAAAGCATAAAAAGTAAAAAAATGAGTGAAGGGCTGAAAAGAAAGTAGAGTTTACTGACTGTGTATTTCAGAGAAGTATGATCCTAACTGAGGTCTATTCTTACACCTATGGATATTGTGGGGCCCAGTGACCAGCTCTATACTCTTCTGAGAGAAAAGATTATTTAGCCACTGGAGTGCTTTTAAGACATGACCCTGGGGAATGTCTAATTACTATTTGATACTTTTCCCCTAATTTGTCCCTTAGAGGGAAGAGTGAGATGCACCATTTTCCTTTAGATCTGCATCATCTTAAGAGAAACTCCAGGCAAAATACTATTCTGAATATTCCCTAAAGAGGCTTCAGAGACATGTATATCTTCATTGACAAACTAGTACAGGGGGCAAGTTACTGCAGAGATTCTAAGGTAAGTTCTTGTGTCTTAGGCAGGGTAAGTACTAAAACTATTGAAAAGGCATTATTCAGTTGAGAATGCTAGCCTGGCTTTTACTCCTTTACTGTGCCTGCCCAATACTCTGATATATCCTTAATGATTCTAGACCCATATTTACCATAGTCTTTCAGGGTAAAATTTTCTCAATATATGGGGTAATACTTTATATTTTTAAAACTTTATTACATGAATGGAGATATTAGTATATGAGACATGAAACCTAGAAAGAACCTTAGAAGAAATATAGTTCAGCTAACGAATGAAGATATTGATAATATCTAAAGTTTTCCCAACAGTAAAATTTTGTTGAAACTTAAAGAATTACAGATTCCTAGGGAGCCACAGAGAAACTTAACTGCTTTTGTTTCAGGACTAAAATTTAATTCAAGTTTCTTTTTACTATACAAGAATATTTGTAGGCTGAGCTTTGTTTGTAGGCTGGTTATATGTCATTCTAGGTCATTTAAAAAATGTCCTTTATGTGTTTCAGAGGCAAGAATAATGTTCTATTCAACTATAAATAGCCCTTAAACCTATGGTAGTGATTGGCACATAACAGAGGATCAATCAGTATATGAGCATTAATTGAATAAATGTATGAATGATGAATAATGATGCAGCCTTACTAGTGAGAAAGGTCTCATTCAGAGCAAAAAAATAACTACTCCATTTGCCTCTTATGAGCCATTCATCATTGAACTTTTCTTGCCTTTTCTCATAGCCCTATAGTCTCCTGCTTTGTTCACCTGTTTTACATAATGACAGTTTAGCATGGCCATTCTCTGGTATTTTAGGCTGAGAAAAGACAACATAAAAGCAAAGAAGTGACTGCTCCAGTCAGGGAACACTCAGATCTCACATCTTTCCTCATGCAGTCTGCCCTTCTGCTAAGCACTCTTGCTTTTTCCATTCCAAAGCTAGTCTCTCCTATTTTTCTTCCTCAAGGCCTCAGGTATAAGGAAAGAGGCATTCTTTATAAAATAATCTTCCTAGTCTGCAATGCATTTGTTTTAATCTGTTTTTTTACCCCCAAATAAACAAACGGACAAGACAT